GTACCGCCCGTACTTGCCTCGTTGGTCGACGGCCTGTGCGAGGTGGCCACATGGTATCCGGATATCACTTGAAGACCCCAGCATATGCCTGCATACGTGTCTATGTGTAGAGACGAAGTGAGAGGTAGAGCGACAGACAGAGGGATAGAAAGAGATAGAGAGAGAAATCGAGAGCAAGCGAGTTCCAGCGGCTTTGGTAAAGTAGAGGTCTACTCTATCGATTATATCATTGTGGTTCAATCATTGCCTCCCCCCAATCGGACTACAGCAAGAAGCAGTGCGTAGCAGTTTGAAGATGGTACATGTTTCGAGAATAACGGAGCTTGAGACTCGGATTAGCAGATATCAAGTCACAAATTTCGGCAAGGTTCCTCTTTGCCACATCGGCCGGCTGCTTGCCGACGACCCGGATCTTCTTCAAGTCAGGGCTCTTGATGGGTGTCCTTATAAGGGTAGCTTGGTCTAGCCGGCATGGGTATGGCATGGGTATCTAGGATAAGGGTCCGGGTTTGGGGTGGTGCCTATATGATTTTCGAGATAGGGTTTGGAGTTTGGGATATTATATAATAATATAGGCCTAGGGTTATTGCTTAGGGTTAGGGGTTGGGTGTGTGGTTTGGGCGTAGAGATAGGGCTGAGGCTTCTGGATCCTGCCTAGCTATAGGCCTAGTCATCTGATAGGGTGAAGGGGTTTAGGCTTTAGGGTTTAGTTGCGGGCTTATTCTAACTTCGCCATATAACCAAGTCACGACTTGACCGACGAAGGGGTTTGTCCAGCTTGCGAGATCTTTGTGGAGATACTTGGGGCTGCCGTGCTAGTAGCGCTATTTGCTGCTGCAACTGACTCCTTCGGTGTGGATTGCACTGTTGCTGCACCCGGCTTCTTCGGTGTGGGTTGCACTACTGCTGCGTCCGGCTTCTTCGGGGTGGATTGCACTTCTACTGCTGCCTTCGGCTTCTTCGGGGTGGATGGCACTGCTGCTGGCGCTGCCTCTGGCTTCTTCGGGGTGGGTTGCCCTGCTCCGGCAGGGCTGGGAATCGACGTTCGACTCACAGTCCTGGCTAGATTGGCTCGTGCTTTGGCTTTCGCAATGATCTCCTGTGCTTTGGCGGCTGCATCACCTCCACCCTCCACACAGTTCACGCCGTTGCCACGCTTTCCCATATCCTGCAATTTGTGCGTTTGGGCGGGTTTAGGGTCCTACGGTTCCCAGGACACTTCCTACGGTTCCCACCTAGGTTCCTACGGTTCCCACCTATGTTCCTACGGTTCCCACCTACATTCCTACGGTTCCTAGAGAGCCCCGCTGGCCCCGCTCCCGGCGTTTTGGGCCCTCCCCCAAGCCTTTAGAGAGCCTTTTACACGCATTTTCCCAAGTGCTGACCAGCCTGTAGGCCCAGGGTTCAGGGTTCCGGGCATTATGGGGCCTTCCTAAGCCTCGTACGGCGCGTTTTCCCAACCTGATGACGTAACGGCTAGCCTTTAGGGTATAGGGTCATGAAGGGGCAATAGTATACGTATACAGCAGCTATAGTGGTAGGGCTTGTGGTTTAGTTTTAGGACGTATATTCAAGGGCCAATGGGGTAGGGCTTGGGGTTTAGCCTTTGGAAGCTTGGAGTTTTAAGACTCAAAGGATTACTCTTCCATGGCCCTCCCTACTCGCAACCCCCTGAGCCAATGAAACTCCAACCTAAACCAGAGCCCTGAGATACACAAAGATAGACATTTCTTGCACGAATTTCTGGCTTGAGTCGTCTGGGCTGCTAATAGTACAACTCGCAGAGACAGCCGTAATCTGCTCTATACAAACGGTCATACTTGCACCTGTCCGGTGTTGCTAAATAGTCGATGATATAAATTCGGGCACAGTGCACACACATCTTCTGCTGGCCAATAATCTTCACTCGACCTCGGACATCTTGATAAGCCAAGTTTGTCACCTCTGCCAGCTCGCATATGATCTTCTCGACCTTTTCACTCTCCGCCAGCTCATGAGCTTTCTGATCTGCCATGGGTCGCAAGGGATCGCGGAGTAGATAGCTATAGCACTGCACCCCCACAGACGTCTGCTGCAAAATGCTGCAGAAGAAGTGCACACAATTCCTACTAGTACTACTACTAGTACTACTACTACTACTACTACTACTACTACTACTACTACTACTACTACTACTACTACTACTAGTAGGTACTACTAGTACTAGTACTAGTACTAGTACTAGTACTACTCCAGATTTGGACACTTCAAAACCAAACCATACCAAAGCAGTTCTTGTCTCTTTGCAGACAAGAGCAAAACGCACATAGACGTCACCGATGTGCGTTTTGGATTGGCCAGATTTGGACCAATCCAAAACGCACATCGGTGACGTCTATGTGCGCTTTGCTCTTGTCTGCACTAGTACTAGTACTAGTACTAGTACTAGTACTAACTACTACTACTACTACTACTACTACTACTACTACTACTACTACTACTACTACTACTACTACTACTACTACTACTACTACTACTACTACTACTACTACTACTAGTATTATTGCCAGTAGTAGGTTTTGCTGGTTTGTTCAGGGTTATGTGGAGAGGGTGTCGGATTTCCCTGTAAGTTAAGAGTAGACGACGTCTCCTCCAAGATGCATCGTGGCAAGAGATGCGGCAGCAGTATGCCTTGCCCAACTATGGACACGATCCTGAAGCTGCCTATGGACGAATATTCCCATGGGATGAACCTCAACTTCGGGTCGCATTTGCGGGTGTGCATCGTGGATCGTTCGGGCACAATTGCCTATATGCTGACAACAGATGGCTTTACAGCCTACAAGCACTGCAATATGGACTGGGCTCCGAAATAGACAGGAGCAGTACTTCCTACGACATCCTTCTCCTCCTGGTGCACCAGAGCGAGCGAGTTCCCAGCTCTAAGCCCGAGGGTTTTGGGCCAGGCACAACTAGTAAACTGCTAGTGGGCACAGCACAGACCTAGTTCTGAAAGCCACAAACCCTAATGCCAAAGACCCACGAACCCGTAGGCCTGAACACACTGTAAGCCTTGAAACGGCTGAAGGCCGAAGCGAAGTCCAAGTCTCCAAAACACCCCAAAACCTAAGTACTAGTCCTTAACCCCAAAAGAGCTTCTCCGGATAATCCTAACAAAAAACTAGCACCTTAAAATCTCGACACCCCCAACTAATAACCTTCCCCGAACCCAATGCCTCTCGCTGAGGGAGAAAGCTTCTGGCGCCTCGCAGGTTTCGGAGCTGGGCATGGGAGGGCAATGCTGGTACTAGTCGTATAGTCTTAGTACTAGTACTAGTACGACTGGCATTGGAGGGCAGTACTAGTACGAACGACCGAAACGGTGTAGCGGCGTGTTCTTCAAGGCTTTTTGGTGTTAGTGGTCTATTAGTCTAGTGTCCCATACACTCACGACGATGAAGTGGTGGCAACATACCCGGGGGTGTTTAGGGTTTGGTGTTGCAACTGCAGCATATGAAGCCCTAAACTTTAAGCCCTAAACCCTAAGCCCTAAACCCTGAGCCTTAAACCCTAAGCCCTAAACCCTAAGCCCTAAACCCTAAGCCCTAAACCCTAAGCCCTAAACCCTAAGCCCTAAATTCGTGCTGTACCGCACTATATACTTTCGAACTGGATGCGGCGTTTTGCATGCTGCAGTACTACCCATCACTGGAGGAGGAGTTCAACTCATAACTGCCCGCGTTCGGTTCGCCGAAAATTGGTGGTACTGGCAGGTCAGTGGCCAGAGCTTTCTGGCCGTTAAGGGGAGCCCCACATATGCATATGCATCGACCCTGGGCCTGGGACATGTGCGAGACAAGGCCCTTTGAGGCATTTGCGAACTGGCATACCTAGCTATGTGCTATGGCCTACTGAGCAGCACGATCGACGTCGAGATCTCCTTGTGGGATATTTAATTATATTATCGATATCTAGATACATACATAAATATATCAAATTATTATATAGCTAGGCCAGATCTTGCACCACCCGGGGCATGACGATTCCTATTTCCACCGAGATCGCTTTAGGGTGGTGGTGCTAGATTCAACATATATATTCGCGAATATATAATAAGTTTGCCAATAGCTAGCATTGATTTTCATCTGAAACCCTGCAGGACAAAACGAACCCAAACAACAGCACCACATCCAGTTACCCAAAACGCAAGCATAAGTCCCAAATAGCAGGAAGCTTTAAGCCCTAATCACCCAATCTCCGAGCTTCAAGACCGGCGAACTTAACCCCGAAAACCCGGAGCCCCAGGCCAACAGCTCAAACCACGAACCTGAAACCCAACCCCTATGTCACCCACCCAATTCCGGAAGCCTACAAGCCCTAACAGTTAAGTATCTGTCAGCTGATAGGGTTTGGGTAACCAATCCAGAGTTTGAGGCTTCGGGTGTCTAGGGTTGGGTTTTAGGCTGGTCTTTTGGGGCCATGCGGTGGGTTGTGAGGAGACGACTTTGCAATCGTAAAGTACGGTCTTCTAGGTCTACAAATACCGTCGGTACAACCCCCCCAAGCCCTTAGATAATAATTATGTATATTCGTGTGGAACCTCAGAAGCCCCATACCTTACTTATAAACTTATCGTATAATGTAATGACCCGGGTTCCCCTTGCGTGAGGGCTGCCTGGCGAGCTGCTCGCAAGCGCTAGCACCTGCAGGCACTTGGCGATCTGCTACAGGGTCTGCCGGATTTGGGCAGTTCTTTGGGCCTAGTATTTCCAACCCAGACCCGCCCATCCGGCCTCCGATCCAGTCAGAAGGAGCCAGCCGGCCCGCCCAGGAAAAGTAGCTAAACTAGCCCTAGCGATCGCGTTGCATGCAATAAAGCTTTCAAAGGTGCAGTGTGCAGCACAGCCTTGCCAAATTTACTATGCAATTGTGGCGACCCTGCATTCTTTCGGCACACATTGCCGGCCCTGCAATACTGCCCGAGCAGCTTGTCCAAAGCTGATAGCTTCAAGGCTAAACACCTACAGGACGATTTCAGCCGGTTGGTCGCTCAAGGGTAGGGGCCATTTCGGAGTCCAGCGGCCATGACCAGCCTCTTCCTTCAGGAACTCGACGATTGGTTCAAGAAGGGCATAGCTCCAAATATCAAGATTCACCTTATCAGTGGTTGTGACGCACTTTTATTAATTTCATGCGGCCCGAATATGCAAGTAAGTAGCAGGGACTTCCTCGAGATCTTCGATCTCTGGCACGGCAGGCTCGTAGCTCGGAGCCTGGGTGCAGCTTCAAATCTTAAGGATGCCTACATACACCCTTTCTACGTAGTGGTTACTGATTAATTAGCGACCTATAGGGTTCGACCACCAGCCGAGATACCACACATGTAGTCATTTGTAGCCCAATGATTCTGCGACAGAACTTCGACGGGTAGGCCTGGGTCTGGGCCAGCTTCGGACCACCTGTCCTTAGATATAAACACAGACCATCCATGCATGCCCGATAAACCCATGGCCCTCGAGCTCGATAAACTTAAGGATAAGTCTCACTGCCACAGAGCCATCCCTGCGGCGCTTGCGGTTGACAACCCCTGTAGAATCGAAATCCGTTGTGTGCTTCTGCGTCTGATGCAGATTCCTGTACTCCGCCAGCGACGACATCCATGGACTTGGATTTGCAATGAGGCAAGGCTTGGGGCTAAATACAAGGCTGCAGTCGCACACCACAGAATTCGAATGCAGGCCAGGAGCACATTCCCAATAACCAGTGTTCTCTTCAAAGTCCTCGCACCGTAGCCACCCATCCAACTCGGTTGTTCGGAAACATGCATATATTGATAAACATATAATTATCGGCCTAATCCCTGACCCTATACCAAATACCTTGACGGCCTTCGTAATGATGGCCAGGCACAAGCGTGCCATCGAGCCGGCTGGGAATTGCATCCCATATAGGTTGATTTGCAGGAGGAACTTTACAAACGGTAGGCGATGCAAGAGGCTGCTCCCCGGCTGTTCGGCCCCCCACAAAACTTGCCTTACGATTGCAAGAAGGATACCTAAAGCCCACCGGCAAGCCACCATATTACCTCTTTTGGTAGCGGGCTTGCTTGAATCTCCCAGGGGTGCTTCACGTGATCTGTTTGTGGCGCTGCGGGATATCCAGACTAGCGATGAGCATGGAACTCCAGCGAAGACCAGAGCTCCAACACGGCATCTTAGAATGTATTGTAAATATACGAAGAATCCAGTCCTCGGATGTGCATACTGCAATCAAATTTTGCACTCCTCGAGTGATGGCAATTGCAAACGAAGCCTATGCTGGCAAGTCTCGTGGTGCTGATGTCGTGCTGTCTCTTCTTCTCCTTGTCGTACACCGAGGCCCTCAAGCCTGCCCTGCCTTAGAGATGCAGCCCTCGTAATGGAAATGATACCATGATGGTGCGTGATTTGGCCATGGATTATATGGTTACATACATGTCGCTCGAATATGCAATGTACAATTAAGCGTTGTACGGGCTGCAGCAAATATTCCTCCGTAACCAGCAAAGACATCGAGCACGTCCAAGTCCTCGCTTGGCGGTGACAACAGCCTAACCCCTGCACCCTAAACCGAAAGCCCTAAACCCCAAACCCGAAACCCTAGACCTACCCGCTAGAAAACCTTAAACTTGACGCCCTCAACCCTAAGCCTAAACCTTAGCCCTAAACCTCACAAAATCTCGAAACCCGAAGCCCTAAACCTAAAGCCCGAAAGAGCTCTTTTATGCTAAGCACCTATAAAATTGTGTTTTGGCCGTTCTGTGTGTTTAGGACTAGACTATATAGCTAGTATATATATAGTCGTACAATCAGCAGTTTCACAGGGCTCGACCTTTAAAGTTTCCTTGGGACTGCCGATTGGACCACTCTAGTACTAGCTCCGACTGGTAATAATACTGATTAGGAGGAGCCGGAGGGTAAAATTTAGGGTGTTGTGGCTTGCAAGGTGGACACTATCGACGGCACATCCAGATCTGCTGATTAGAATGCTGCTAGCTGGGCCTGGGAGGCAAGACGGTGCTTCTTCACTTTCAGGATTCCGATTGGTGTTTGAAGTCAACAGAGCCCAATTGGCACCTGGCCCAATCTTCCGGGGTTCAGTGTTTTGGGGCTCAGGGTCAGTGCGGGTATACGATTATTCGACAGAGCCTATGTGGCAGCAGGCCCCTTTAGGGCTTCAGACTTTTGGGCCCGGGGTTCAGGGTTAAGGTGTTTATAAGGGTTTAGAATCTAGCGCTAGGGGTGGTTTGCATAGGCCGCGACCTAGCGATCGCACTGCTACAGCAGAACGTTTAACAAAAGCACTCTCGTGAAAGGGACTGCGGTCTACTGCTAGCCATACAGATCTAGAGAAGGCCGAACAAGATTGGATGCAAAATACATATCCCAACCTTTCGCCCGAAACTCTTAACCTCGTGAAGCCTTCTGCCCTGCACTGGTACCAGCCCATCCTATAGTATGGGCTCGTCGTTGTGATGTGCACATATATATATATAATATTGGCTAATGACCTGCTAATTAATATATATATATAAATATATATATGTGCACATCATAACGACGAGCCCATGATGTAGCTTATCAAAAATATCTCTAGATCTTCGTAGGTACCACTTGCAGTGCAAGGTTCCCGGACAAAAGAGCGATTGCCCATCTGGCACACGTAGTCGATGGCGTGGAGCCTGAGCGGTGAGCCGTCGCGACCGTATGTACATATCCCAACCCTAGGCCTGTAAATCCTGTGGCCCGATCAGATCCATCAGCTTGAAACCCTATCTAGCTATGCAAGTCTTAAGCTTAGTGGCCGGTACGATCTTGGAGCCGTACACAATTATAGAGCTAGCTGCTGCCCGGAAACAGAATGCATGGAATGTGTAAGCCACAAAGCATCTTGAACTGCTCTTGCGTCAGCTCCAGTGCTTTTGCCATTGCAGGGGTTTAGAAGGGCCGGCCTACACAGGCAAGTACAATCATGCAAGAGGCCGAGATATTTGCATACATGTACACCTTAGCTTGCGAGCCGATTGAACGAATCATTCGATGGAACCTGCTGGCGTGGAGTCCACAAGGTTTGCACATCTGCAATTGGGGGAACAGGTTTTAGGGTTTCCACCTTATACGGGCTGTTGGGGTGCAGGCTTGAATGGACATCGTCTGGTTCTACTGTTCGGGTTTTGGGTTTTGTCAACGACATCTACCATTTTGGGTTTTAAATTTAGAAGTTGGGGTTTGGGGTTAAATTATAGATTAGAACATGCCAACACACATAGCAACGTATTGTGCGCCCACTCCCAAGCAGGATCCGGAACTGTCGACAGCAGGATTCGTCCCGCTGCTTGATCGCTCACATGTACAGCTAGCGCCTGTGACCCGAAGCTCTGACATTGCGGTGCCGAGTTGCCAAAAATCGCATCGTTCCAAGGCCCGATGCCCCGCACACGGCGTGAGGTGACAAGCTTATTCTTGTATGAGGCTTTAGGAGTACATGTCACAGCACTGCAAGCACCTACGTACACTGCTCACCTCACACCCCCACACACACACAAACCCTTCACTCGGCATGCCTACGGCGAAATTCAGCCAATGATTGAAGGGCCATCTTGGCTTGCTCAAAATTCTGCTGCACAGTTTCGAATGCATCTCCCTTTTGCAGGGCCACGGCCTTAATGATGCATGAGGTTTCTGTCTACTAGTATATAGCCCAGGCCAATTGCAACAACAGCATCGAGATCACGTGAATAATGCAGGCCGGACACAGCCTCAGAGCAGGGCTCCAGAATTTCCCTCCAGCTGATCACACCCTCGTCGAGCTTCAACGACCGACCATTCAGGGACAGCACCTGCCGTGGACATTCGAATGCTTAAGTCGATTTCCGGACACATGTATATGCAAGTACATTCCTGCGTGCTGCCTGGGATTTGGGGTCCAGCACATTCCCGCGCTTCACAATGCCAACATCACGGCGAGACCAGTATGGCATCACCTCATGTATGCGATCAGCATGACATATATTCATGGAATAGCATGTACATGTACACATACGAGTGGCAAAGTAGTCCTTGAGGGCCGGGAGGTTCCTGCTGAGCTCGATCTGCTCATTGGACTTCCTCGTTCTTTGCTTCTTTGCAGCTGGCTCTGCCACTCCTGCAACCAGGAGTACGAGTTTCACCGTCGCACATACCATGTATATGGATGAGTACGATGCATTTTTTAACCTGCCTGTAGCTTCCGGCTCCTCTTCGGCGCTCACTCCGGCCTTGGATGGTTTGCCAGTCCTTCCAGCCGGCTCCTTGGCCTTGAGATCTGCTCCTCCAGCCGATGCGGAGACTCCCCTGCCCCTCCCACGGCCACGTCCCCGTCCACGGCCACGTCCCGTAGTGGTCTTCGGCTGAGCTTCGGCTTCATCCGCTTCTTGCTCCTTGCTTTCGGCTCCAGCTTCTTCGGTCGGCTCCTGCATTTCGTCGTCCTTCGTTTCGGGTTCATCATCGTCGGCCGGCTCCTCTCCTTCGTTCTCGCATGCTTTTGCCTTGGCTTTTCCCTTCGCTTTTCCCTTCGCTTTTGGCTTGCCTTTTGCCTTGCCTTTTGCCTTGGCTTTTGCCTTAGCTTTTGCTTTCACCTCGGCCTTCCGAGCCGATCTCCTCAGCTGTATTACGTGTAATTTTGCAAAACAGCCATTGAAACAGCAGCCCCCCATATGATAACTTATGTCAAGGAGCAGCTGGGACTGCAAAAGCGGCAGCTGCTCACCGTCTGCTTGTGCAAGCAGGGCATCCACCTGCCCCGACTCCCACTGTGGCGGATCCTTGATCAACGGCTCGTGGTCCTGCGTGTGCAAAGGTATCGTCCCTCGCTTCATTTTTATCTCTAGACCTACATCTCACAATCTTCGCAGTCCTGCTCACTGGAACGAACAGTAGTAGTCTCCTCGATCTTTGTTGTGTCCACTTGCTTCCTGCCCTTGTACCCAGCAGATGCAATGGCCTGGCATTGACCGGATACTGCAGGAGCACATCCAATTGCAAGGCATGATGCACACGAGCTAATTATAAACGAACCGCCTGCCTCGAAGACCGGGACAGGTGGATACTTCTGGCTATTCCCAAGCTTTGGCGTGGCCTTTTCAACCTCAAGCGCCTCTGCACATTCTGTGGCCTCTTCAGCGATGGGCCCCTCTGCACATTCTGTGGCCTCTTCAGCGATGGGGGCCTCTGCACATTCTGTGGCCTCTTCAGTGCTGGGGGCCTCTGCACATTCTGCGGCCTCTTCAGTGCTGGGGGCCTCTGCACATTCCATATCGGCATCTTCATCTTTGGGGGCCTCGGCACCTTCGCATTCCATGGCTTCTTCAGATTCGGGCTCCTGTTCACCGGCCGATTCGGGTGCAGCTGCAGCTCCAGGGGCCTCTTCACATTCTGTGGCCTCTTCAGCCCTGGGGTTGTCTGACTCTGCACATTCCATCTCGGCATCTGCAGCTTCGGGGGCACTTGGACTTTCCATGGCCTCTGCAGCTTCAGGTTCCCCGGGTGCCTGCATTGAAACAGCAACCATATGATATGCGCAATATTTATGCATGCATGCAACTGCACCCAGCCTCGCCATTTACGAAGACTGATAATATTTCCTTCAAGGTTTGTATCTTCTCCGTCCTCACCGATATGGCACATATATTGCTGGCAGCCAACGAATCGAACTTTATGCAAGCAAGTTGCTTCGAACGAAGCGGCGTTTTCCGCCACAGCCGCACCATATACGTGGCGCGATGCCGAAGTGTGCCCGCGTTCAGATCAGCCCATGCCTAAGACCACATTGTATTTGACATGCAATTGCAAATATGTACAAATCCCGAACTCCCGATGCAAGATACAGCGATCGACTTCTTCAAGGCTTTGGTCCCGAAGAAATCGTGCTCTTGCTGCAACCAATGAAATGCATCCTGGGGTTGACAGCTCGATCTTGTGAAAAGAGCACGTAGAATGATGGTATCAGTGCAATCCGGCAACTCTGAATTTCGATAGCAATGGAACCTTCGGGCCAAATGTGGCCAGAAGAGGTGCTAATACATCGAACGCTTCCTCCACCACTTCTTCCGACATAAACTCGAAGGGCTCGAAAACATCGTGCGACTCAGATTACATGTATACATGTGATTACACACCACCACCGGCACACACACACACACAGCAGACACACACACATACACACACGCATGCACGAATCGCCGCAAAGTCGCGTCTGACCGTCTCATGCTGGCAGCACGAGACATGTTGGATCCTTCCTCCCGGGATCTCAGGAAATCGTCCAAAATGTCTTTCAGAAGACACAGCCTGAACTCATACATCGATCGAGTGCATGGAATATGCCACTTAGCCACGTGCACTGCGTGAAAAAAAAACTAGGCATGCAATTGTATATGCACCTTCATTAATATGCTGTCTCGAAGCTCTTCATCATCTTCCGGATTGGTCGGGTGCTCGAACTCTGGATCGGGTTCAGGGTTACCCCGATTGCTGCCAGCAGCGCTGCTGGGCATCTCTACACAAGTGAAACTGCTAGCAGGACCTCTAAAACGGAACCTCTTGAGATCACAGCAGTACAATCACGTCTTTGCTCTGAAACTGTGAGGCGCATGCACAATGCAGCTTGCAATGGGAGGTGGCGGGTGGACTCTTCCTTTGTAGAGCTCGAGAACGAGCCCGAGCAGCAGCTCGCAACATACATGCATGGCGAGGCTCGAATCTCCAAGCCGAATCCTTGGTCAGTCCTTTAAAGTCCTACTAGCTAGCTCTAGACTTACGAGTACTAGTACGAGTAGTATGACCCGGAGGCCAAGGGCAAGGCCGATTTCATTTATATCTATAGATATCGAATAGATTGCATACCTGAATATTCACACAACGCACACATGTGTCCTAAAGCCGAAAACAAAGCAAGGGCGAGTTTCTGATTGCAGTACGCAGGCACACATGCACACAGAGACACACACACACACATACGTGCCCTAGGCAGCGGATAACAAGGCCAATTCATCCATCAGACGATCTAGATGTCATCCAAAGATTTAAACAAGGCAATGAGTCTAGATTTAGTATGGTCACCAGGGATCCTAGGAACTGGTTCCAGGAACTGGGCCTTTTTAAAACAGTTACCCAGGAGACCGGTAACCAGGAACGGTTCCCAATATATGGGTTACTGGGCGGCTTGGGTAAGAGTCTTCGCTGGGGAGGATCGGCTTCTGCGTCCAGGGCTGCTGCTTCCCGTACCTGGGATGTCGGTTTATAATCTAGAAGCACGTACCTACGGTATCCTAGCATGCATGAGATTCCGAGTGGAAACGATGCGCCCAGGAACCTTCCCCGCTGGATGCTACACTCGCCCGAAGCTTGGCAGCTTTTGCAAGGGCTGCTTCGACCGCTGCGGACACCATGATATATAGAGGCTTCCTATAAATCACATGCACAGCGATGTCTAGCAATATTGCATGGTCCGACCTAACATGACAAGCATCCAGGATGAGATGTAAATCTACAGGAATCTTGCAGACGGCCTAGGAGCATCCTTGATCAAAATAAATCTTCCAATTGTGATGTGCAGTTCTACAGACAACCCCAGGGCGAAAGATCAGAAGCCCGAGTTTAAGTCGAAGACCATAGAACCCGGCCCCCCAACAGAGCAAGTCAATTGCAGCAGATCAGAAAACCCGGCGCTCAATTGCATTGCGCATAGAACCGGCACTGGGATCTTATAGCCCCTGCATAGAATACTGCCCTCTGCACTGTTGTAGATCTTGGGGGCCCTGGCAGCAGCACGCCAACATCACGCTACCCTCACGCCTGTGGGGTGGTGGTTGTGGGGGAGCTAAGAGAATCTATTATAAAGGGCCGTGCAGAGTCACGCCAGGATCACGCCAGAATCACGCTAGAGTCACGCTCCTAGTTGCCTAGGAATCTGGCCCAAATCTCCCCTGAAAAGACTGAAATGTAGCCTCGACACAGCCCCTGAAATCCAGTATCAACAGAGTCATCCCTGAAGCTCCGGGCCCCCTGGGAGTCACCAGCATTCTTCCTCGCATCTGCAGGTCAATTGGGCTGTGATTGGGCTGTGTCTATGACACAGCTCAAAATAAGCTAATTGCAGCTAATTAGCCACCGTCCAGGGATAATCCGAAGCTGGCTGTCGAACTACACATACAGACTGCTCATGGGCTTGAAGCGGCCGGCCTCCTGCTCCTGTCTCAGGAACAGCAGAATCTCGCCAAGCCCGGCGTGCTGCCACTCCAATGGCCTCTCCACCTCGGCATTATATGCAGTACTTGGATACGATTCTAGGATTGGCTATGGTTTATAGCTACTTCAGGGGTGTTAGGGGTTTAGAGGCCAAGGGGCTTAGGGGTTTGGGGGTTTGGGGGTTCGAGGGCTACTTCAGGGGTTTTTAGGGCAGGGGTTTAGAGGCAAAGGGGCTTAGGGGTTCGAGGGCTACTTCAGGGCTTTAGGGGTTTAGAGGCAAAGGGGCTTAGGGGTTTTGGGGTTTGGGGGTTCGACGGCTACTTGAGGGGTTTTAGGGGTCTAGAGGCAAAGGGGCTTAGGGGTTTGGGGGTTTGGGTTCGAGGGCTACTTCAGGGGTTTTAGGTGTTTAGAGGCAAAGGGGCTTAGGGGTTTTGGGGTTTGGGGGTTCGAGGTTCAGGGTGTAAGGTGTAGGGTATATATATATATATACCCTATAGCTGTAGGCTTCGGGTATACATATTTCGCAAATATACCCTCAGATATACTTGGGTATAATTTAGCAGGCACTTGGATTGGGGCCTGGGGTCCTTGTTGCATATTCGAAGCTAGCCGTCGGGCAGCACAACAGTAGAATCTTCGAGCATGGTGGTGTATAGGGCAGGTAGAATATATTATAGATCCTAGCAGGTAGGCTGAGTGGGCAGACAACATCACCGGTCAGACCGGTAGCGAGGACTGGACTGGAGCCCTGGAAACGAGTGAGGGCAGTTGGCAGTGTCCAACAACCGGAGACTTCGAATCTTGAAGGACTTGGAGCAGCTCTTCGATCGAATGTCTTGGTCACCTGGCACATGAGTACCATGGAAGCCGACTTCGAGCTTCTGCTCGAGCAACTCTACATGTTGCGACTCCCACGGACATTGATCGGAGCACTATTGGGGCACCCCCCACCACCCACCCAACCCTATCGGAGACACAGATATACCTGGCCCATATAGGATAGGGTTTCCCCGGCACTCCTGGTGGCGCCCGAAATATTGGTTTAGGCGGGGTTTGCAACAATCAAAGGCGTGAATCAAAACCTGCCTCCCAATATGTATATTGTATTCCTTGCCCTTGCCCCTAGATAGGGTTCCTCTAGCTCTGCTTGTAGCACCCCAAATATGGTTTAGGACCCTCTGCCTGGAAGCCAGCATATCTACCGACCAGCAAATCACTTGCGGAAACCCTATGCCAATATTGCGTGGGTGTGCTGCCCACAGAACCTAGTATCCCCAGATAATCATATGACTCGCTCGACATGGAGTTGTAAAGGCTACAGATCAATACTTCAAATTGTTTGGGGGTGTTAGGTGCGAAGAGGTAATTTATAATAATGATTATATATGGTCTTTGGAGCGGCCAATGGTATCGGGTTTAAAATGTGCCAGGTCTTCACCATTCGCCTGGCCGGTGTGGGCCCCAATACTACGGGTTTTGGGTCTAGACTACGGGTGTTCTAGCATCCATGCAAAATTTCCTCATGTAGGGCTCGAGGTTTAGCAGGAGAGGGTTGATTACAATGTTATTCATCGGGCTTTGAGTCTGTATGTGCAATTTCGTTGGAGTCGGAGATTCGGAGATCCCCAGATCACCCAAAACATATAATAATATTGTTGTGCCCTGTAGCTAAAGTCCCTCAGCCCTTGGATTAGACTCGGATCATAATACCCACGATTGCATGATGAGCTGACTGCACTTCTACTGGCATGCTGCGGTTCTTGACTGTGGCACACAAGCAGAAGTTCAATGTGGACACATCGACCTGCTGCCACCTATGAAAGCCGTATGCTGTCGATTCCGGTTGGCAGCATCAATCCTGGCTTGTGGGACATGTGCGACATGGAGCCCCTGAAACAGAAAGCCATGCTTTCCAAGAACACAGGAGGAAGCGATCAGAGCCGGCAGCACCCAGAAGTGGGCATCCGGGGCCAGCGACTCGCAACCACCCCAGACAGATTATGGGGCCGACATCGACGTCTTCGAGCTCTTCGAACATAATTACAATAACCCTAAACCCATATATGGTGATCTTGCAACACCCGGGCATAATACTTCCCAAAGTTCCGGTTCTAGGGGGTGATGCAAGATCTTTCATCTGAAGCCCCAGCCCCTAAGCCCTATATTATACCCAAACCTGCAATGGAAAAGCCAGTGGCCTGTGAATGTCACGATCATGGAGCATAATGCCCCACCATGAGCTTCTAAATCCGATCCGCAGACACAGACACACAAACACCAACTTGCCCGAAGCAGACATTGTCGACCAATAGGATTGCGAAAAACCCTGACCAGGCCCCAAAATCAACCCCAAAGATTTCGAATGCAAATTACTAGTGCAACGACAACTAAATAAATTATTAGGGTTTAGTATTTTAGGGCTTCGGCGTTTTGCGGGGTTTCCGGCTTGAGGGCTTACCTGTTGGGTTTACACGGTGTTGTGTAGGACTTCTTAAATCCAAGAAACGTAGACTTAGGGCTGTGCGGTTTGAAAGTCAGGCCGTGTTGGCTTTAAGATCCGTTTTGTCGCATATAAGCTCATATTAGGTATGCGGCATATTGGTTTCGGGAAGAGTTGGCCAGGGATATTCGGCTTCGAGTATAAATGGGATTTGCGACTTCGGGCTTTAATTCGGGGTTCCTTGCCAACCCCGGCCCCATAATAAGGTGTACATTAAAATATATTCTAGCCTGAAGCTCAATTGATCATCAAATGCTGCGAGGCTGCTGGAGCCTGCGTGGCAAGCTTCTCGCGACCTGCAGACAGCGTCTTCGTCATCTTCTTGGCAACGGCAGCCTTGGCAGGAAAGTGGTCGTGGGGATTAACAATTCGGAGCAATAGTGTAGGCAGGTAACCGAGATCTTTTGGTGCAGACGTAGAACTCGCTGGCAGAAGCGGTACGGGTAGGCTTGGGTTTCCTTCAGCTTCCTATCCCCAGTCCTTAGATAGAGCATACATGAACCGGAGTGTTGAATTCGGCTAATCGTCATAGGTGCACTGCAGGTGAAAAGCCTAAGCAGCGAACACTGCCACTCGACCATCAGGTCGCCTTCTTCGAATAACCACTCCATCCGAAGATAAGGCCAACCTTCTCCGATTGGCAGCCGATAGCTTGCGAGCCAACTTCGGGATGAAGGGCCTCGATCAGACATACATATTATTAATTACAACCGCGGCATCATACTCGCTAATCACCGATGTACTAAAGTCGCTGGCGCTGTGCCGACGGCGATAGAGGCTTTCGGAGCAAAGTGGCCCCAACAGCCCATCCAACTCAGTCGCACACACAGAATGTATGAAGACCCCCTCGATCAAGAAAGAGCACACACACACACTGTCAGCATAGTTGCAGTAGGGTAACAAGAACTGCTTGTGCACCGTCATGATCCTCCTGAGAATCCTGACAACATGGTTCACATAGGGGTCGCTCTCCAAAAGCGAGCTGGATGGCTGCTCGATCAGCCAGATAGTCTTCCGGACGGTGCACAGGATCAGTAGGAGGGCAACTCGTGCCGCCAACCTGGGTTTGCTCTGAATCCCTTGATTGGACCCTACTGCATGGCACGATCAGCAAAAGCCAAGGCTCCGATTTGCATCGGCAACATATCCCAGGGTCTCCCGGCCAAGTGGATTTGCCGGGCTGCGTTGAGACGTCGATCGGTTCATGAAAACATAGGAGGAACACGGCACTCCAGCCGTCGTGAGGGCTCCGGGTGCCAACTTCAGAATGGATCGTACTGCACTGATAAATCCAATCCTCTGCTGGCGAGTCAGATATTTGAAACCGCACTGACACCGAACCCCGCTGCAAGCTGCATGAAGCTCTTCAGCAAGCGTCGTTGTCAATAGATCATCTTCTGTTTCTCGCCCGGGGCCAGTAATATCCATGTAGTCACTTAGCTGCACTTGAATTAAGCTCATGTTGGACAGTTGTGCTGCTAAAGCCAAGAAGCCTTTTGAAGCCAGCTTCACCTCAATGCATCCGACCATATGTTCTATTTAGGGTGGAGGTGTCTGGATTTTCAGTCAGGTATACTAAGCTCCCAACAGTAGGACCTTTGCATATTTCGACATCCAGCAAATAGATCAAAGTGAAGTCGGTCCTATGCCAGGGCTCTAGGGGTCTTCCTGTTCACTGTATATTCGAAGCTCGATTTAGCATTGATTGTGTTATATTAAGGTTCCGGCCCGAAAAGACATGTGAGCGGGGCTGTTCTGGGTAATGTAGTCGCAGACATGCAACCTCAGATATCCCGTGTAGCCGCTTGTTATCAGGATCGCATTCGGCCTACATATTTACATGTGACTGAGGAATGAACAGAACAGGATGTGCACCAAGCATGGCCAGCAAGGACACAGCTGTACAGGACAGTGCCAGTGGCGATTGCCACATCTTTGCACTGCATGGCTCCATGATCCCGGCAACAGTTGGAAGGTAGGTCCTACCAGCACTGAAAAACCTGGGAGCATCAAGGATACGGCAGTTGTCCGTGCCGTCAACTGCAGTGAAGATCGCGAGCAACCGAAGAAACATGTAGAGAGCAAGAGAGGAAGAGAGAGAGAGAGATAGAGACAGGGAGTCTGTATGAGAGAAAAAGTGGCCCTAGCACACAGCCTTTCAGCTCTTCATGACAAAATTGGATGCTGCAGCCTCCCCGTGAAACTCAGGCTGCTATCTTCGCTGCACGAAGACCTCATGCACTTCCAGCGGCAGCTGCCACTTCCACCCAGCCAGCAATCTTCTTTGCAATGTTCCACCTGGGTCTTAGCACGTGCGACCTAACTACGTACAAATATTATATATATATATATATCTACCGAGCAACATCTCGGCCAGGTTCTCATCAGGCTTGAAAGGCAGGGTGAGGCAGTCGTAGGCGTTCGCCTGTTCGAAGCTTGCAGGCGTTGGGTTTTTGGGGAAGGGGGTCTGGTTGTAAGTTTCAGGGTTTACACTTAACGGTTTAATTTGTTGGGAGATTCGCGAAGGGGGCTAATGGTCGGGTGTTTGGATGTGTATATCGACAAGAGATCTTTGTGTTGCAAGATCTGGGTTCAGAGCTGGAGCCGAGTGCATGATCTTATAATAAGATGCTACTGATTTATGGCAAGCGGCCTTCAGATAGAGACCATGCTGTCGCTTCACAATGGAGAATCGCGCCGGGTCCACATTTGCAATGTAGAATGCACCAACGAACCTCGGCTTAATGCATTCTGTGCTGTGTATACCTTACCAGTCATCATATCCCAGGACACAGCTTGGAAGCCAAGTGGCAGCACTCCGATTGTGCAAGCATTCGGACGGTCGGCCAGGAGACGGGGGCTGGGCTTCAGAGTGTATGACCTTGGCGGGTACAATCCCGAAAAACCTGAATCCCTAATACCCCTCAACCCACAGAGCTCCAAATGTGAAGTTGAACCCGCAATCCCTAAATTCATCCAGAAAACGAGATATTCGCATACACAGTTGCCGGGGGGATTCTCATCGATCGATCAGACTCACGGATCTTCTTCAGGCCCTCGACGATAGCATCTCTTTGTGCCTCCAACGGCAAAGGGTTAAGGGTTGGGGCTTGGGCCCAAAGATTCTTGGGACATGAACTTGTTCGGGGATTACAATTCCTAGAACTGCTGGCCTCGGCCCTCTGCAGGGACTTAGGCTTCGGTCCGTCTTTTGGCGGCGGTGGCGGTTTCGTGCGTGCGAACTGCGGCGTCCAGCCCGGTGATCTGCCCGGCGTTCGCGACTCGGGCGACTGTTGCACAGCCTGACCATAATGCAAGCCAAAATGTATAGTGCTTTGTGGGCACCGAAACAGCCTGCTTCACCTTCTTGCTCTTGGCCTTGGGCATTGATTTTGCTTTTCCTTTCGGCTCCTGGCAACAGGCTGGTAAAGCGACATGCAGTCATGCACACAAAATTCTCGTGTCCTGGCGGGGCGTGCTCACAGCTTCAAACTCTTTCTCCAAATTTTTTTTCGGAGTTTCATAGACCTTCTCCTCCTCTGTATCCTTGGGCCTGGCTTTGGGTCGGGCTTTGCTTCGGATGGCTTTGGCTTTGGCTCCCTCCTGGACCTTCGCCTCCTCTGAGGCTGTCTTCTGCTTCTTGCTTGGCTCGCCTCCCTCGTCCTCGCCTCTCACGGCCTGCTTTATCTGCTCATCCTCCTCTAGGAGCTCTTCCTCAAGAGCATCGGCGCCTTCTGTGTCTTCCGCCTCTTCAGCGGCCTTTCGTTTCTCTCCCTTCGCCTTCGCCTTTGCTCCTCCCTTTCCCCTGCCCTTGCCTTTTCCCTTCTTCGGCTGCGCCTGGCTCTGCCTCAGTCCTGCTCGCAGAGCTTTCTGCGCCTGTCAACAATTCATGTAGAATCTTGCAAAGGGTCTAGGCTGATGATGGGCGACATGATACAGGGTCTGGCTGGGCTTGCCTGCAGGACTTCTTCCAGCATGCCGAATTTCTCTGCGAGCTCCATGGATGCGAGGTCGGCCTGTTCTTGAAGTGATCCCCCAACCTCAGGAAGATTGGGTTTCAAAGGCTTCCGATCCTTAGCACCGCCATGAATGCAGTCGGGACATGGATCTATGACCGACGAACAACTATATATAAAGTCCAGTCGCTTTGAACGTACCCTTGTCAACAGTCTCACGATCTTCTCGACTGTCATTGGCCACGGGCTCCTGGAGATACAGCTTGGATGTAAGTGCCTTTCAAAATTTGGGTTACCATGCATCGTAATAACTGATGATGTGGGCTCCACACACGTACATGTACACAAGCCTCGGCACCAGGAGAAGCTGCTATCATCGCTGCATTGGAGCGGCGAATCACAGGCTCCTGGGCAGCTTATAAATTGAAATAAATTTAGATCCCAGTGTCATGGATATCCTTCGAAGATTCGCTTGCCTTCTTTGTCCCGGGCCCAGGAGGATCTGACTCCTGACCATGCATATTAGAGGTTTCTGCTACGGGGAAGATCGTGCATAATGGGCCAGCATACTTCCTCCTGCTCATCCATGGGTGTCACCTCCATCGCCTCGCCGCTGCCCTCCTGCAGAATTCTAGCTTCGAAACTAGATCTCATGATCACATGAACAACCCTATAGATGCAAGAGCTCCTCATCTGAAGATATCGTCTCCAAGGGCACGGTCTTGTGCAAAACGAAGAGGACTTCCTCCTCCTCCCAGCCCTCATTCTTCTCCTCCTGGCCCTCTTGCTTTGACTTTGCATGTGTCTCCTTTCTCTCCTCCTTTGGCTTGATGTTTCGAGTCTTTCTCACAATCTCTTTGAGATCATCCATGCGGCTGTGTCCACTCCTGCCGTGAGCTGAATATATGTACACTGATCATGCAATATCTCACACTCCGATGAGTCCTCGATGCAGTGTTCTGCCGTGTGCGCCGAACGACATAAGCCGCCAGGGCTCTCTGCAGACCTCCTTCGGTTTCAGCCCAAGCCTAGGATAGAGTTAATAGGGATACATTTTTGGCGATAAAGCACATGCATGGGATGGTGCTGGCAAGGAACTTCCAGCTCCGACTTCGAAGCATTCTTTCGGCACAGTTCTTTGTCCTTGGCCACCTTCACAAGAGCCGCCTGCCATCATAACCGAACATGTTCGAAAGATTGCAATTGAGTATCAAAACTCCAAGCAGGCCTGAATATCAAGCTTGTTCACCGGATGGTGGATGAGGGACAGGAAACCCAGCAGGAATTCATAGTTCGCATCATTCTCGACCTGCAGAATCCCAAGACCCCGAAAATTTTCTGTAATGATATATAGGGCGTACATTAATCAGCAACCTCGGTCTCGCCGATGCTGGATTTCTTGATATCCAGCATTGTGAAGTTGCATGGCACCTTGCACATACAATTGTGGTAACCCGTAGCACCCCTACCAGCCGCTACTTAACAATTAAATACACTGCATCCAAGCTACTTTTCCCTTTGCCAGGATCCGGGCCAACTTCTGCGGTCCCAGACACAGATCCTTGGCCAGGCTTTCCCACCGCTCCTTTATAAAGTCCTCGTCGAGGATGGCATTGTAGAATCCCTGAGAAAGGGGGGGAGCTGGAAGGCTTGCAGGCTGAGATATGATCGAACTTACTTTCAAGCCTCAAGCAAGCGGACGGTTGAAGCAGAAGTCGGAGGCATCTCGGGGAAGCTGATGACACCAGTCTTACACCCCCAACTGGACCGGGCCCCAGAAGTCTATAGCAACATGCGATCTGATATGGAATCATATGGGCCCTCAAGCCACAAGCCGGAATGCATCACTGCTGATCATGATATACAGAATCCCTGCTCTTGAGCACACAAATCTCAGGAGTGGCAGCGCTTGGATCAACTGCATTGCAATCGCTGACCGCTGAGCATACGAAAATGAGCCGGCATCACCTGGGGACCATTCATCTAGGGCCTTTCGTCGCTCCGCGAATCCTTATATAGGAATAGACCAGGGCTCGGATTGAAATCGCAGCTTATATGTGATGGAATAACATTTATGACGAGCCACTTGTCTGAAGAGCCTTCTTCATGCATCCAGGAATAGAAGGCACCGACCAGCAGCATCACCAAACACCGCTTTCCGGCGCCAGGCGAAAGAAAGCATGGATCAGCAGAACCAGCAAGCACCGGCCATGAGAATTCAGGAATTCTTTATTTTCATGTGAATGAAAAGAAATGCTCATGATTATAATGCCTTCAGCTCGTCAACATTGGGTCCGCCCAAGGCTCCAACTGGATTAAGATCATGCTGATTTCTAGTTGTATACATATATTGAGCTGAACCTATGGACCCGGCCAAGGCTCCAATTGGATGAAGATCATGCTGGTTTTAGAGCAGCTACATGCATTCAGCTGAAGTTTTGGACCCGCCCCAGGCTTGTACTATAAACCTCGCAAAATCTCTTTAAAACCCAGATCAATCAACTGGAAATGCAACCTGGAATCCTCATGAAATCATGCGGGCACACTGCTCCAAGCCAGCTTCCGGATGCAGGT